CACACACTAAACAAATCAGTCATCTCATTATTAGGAACAATTCTAAAAAAAAAAATTATATTTGAGATCACCCTCTGCTGCATCATGTTTAAGATCTACACAGGTTGACTAGTTATGAGAGAGACAGCATTCACATGATGCCCCAACTCCTTTTTTAACACATTAAATCCTGAAAGTGATGAATTCTAAGATAATACTCTTGTGTTCTGGCAGATCAGAGGCAATGCACCAAAGCAACTTATGATAATCTCAAAATTGGGAATTCTAGAAAACTGAAGGAGATAAAAGGTTTTCATTTGTGGGCAAAGATCAGATACTTTTTAATCAGATCTTATATATAGTTTACAAAATATAATACTCAAGCCACCATTTCCCCTGTATGTGTCTGAGGTAGGTAAAAATGAAAGTCAATTTAAACAATCTGGTACTTTTCTTGTTCAGAATGATAGTGAAGATTTTATGTTTGACTGCAAAAATGCTCAAAATGTGGTATTTAAAAATTGCTTTGTCTGCTTTTGCATCCAGAGCAGCTATGATTTCTAACAGCTTATTTTTTAAAAGCATGAGGATACCTGAAAAATAACTTATTTTTCATCAAAATTGAATATGTGATGTGAGTATCTATCAGGCATAACATCCAACTCTCACTGTCAGTATGTCACTCTGGACACAGATGGCAGCACTTCTTGGATAAATCAGGATCAAGACCCAATGTGAAGGAACACAATATAGATTTTTCTTAGGTCATAAACTTGAATAATACAAAATTGCAACTGCAGTTACCTAACACAGCCAAATATTTAATATAAACATTCTTGCATTTATCTGTTGGTTAATTTTTCCCTTCTTAAGATTCCTCTGTCACACTAATGATTATCACAGATCTTTTTTCTGGTGTTCTACTGTATCTAGTTTTCTAGTTTCCTTACTGGGTTTATCATTAGTAATTGTATGTGATCTGTGACATTTTTTGGGGGAGGGCATGTACATAGCTACACAAAAAGAAAAAAATATCAAGTGCTCATATTACAGCAGCAGCTCTAAATTAATTTTCTTACTTATAATAATAAATAACTATCCATTACAAGACACAAAAAGTCCAACTGTGAAGTAAAGTAAATGCAAAATATTATTTATAAGTGCTGCTCTATATACCAAAGATTGTGCAATTGTTATTAGATGAACCATAAAATTAATAATAACTTAACTTATCTGCAACAAAATTCATGCTTTCACACTTTTTTACGTAATCTTCAAGTGTTTTAGAAGAATTATTGGTGATATAGAAAATCTTCTTGCCGAGAGCTCGCAACATACCGAGGGCCTCATTTGACCTTCCTATTATATCATCTCCTCTCCAGAGTACACCTAGCACAAAATGAAACAGGCTATCATATTTCAAGTAAAACGTAGCATTACAGGACAAATATGAGAAGGATTATTTTAAAACAAAAATCACTGCTGATTGTTTCCCAAAATTCTGTGAACCACCTTCTTCATTTTATCTACTTTCTCTTTGCATCTGCTTTTATAAACAGAAAGATGGCAGTAACCCTAGTAAAATGCTGAATAAGTGACAACTCTAACCATGCCCTTTAGTGTACAAGAATACTGTAATACCTAAAGCTTAACCCAATGCTGCCGGGGAATATTAATAAAAAATGGGGAAAATGCTGTGCTCATTTTCTATATTTTTTGTGAAATGTCTCTGCACATAGATCGCTCTGCTAGTGCTTAGCCACAAAGGAGTCAATTAGTAGAATTTGTGACCTGATGTGATTTGAATTGGCAGGCAAAACATATTTTTTACTTGTGCTATGAATATCGATGGTGTTATTTTCATTATAAACATTATAATTACTATAATGTTATAAACATTAGTAACAGCAAAATAAGATAACGTAAAATATTTTCATAAATCAAAGAAAAGGGTATATGAACGAGACAGGCAGTACTCGTAACAGGCTCATTGGTGACTTAGTGCTAAGTATTTACAGTAAGCATAGCACATACGTGCATGTCATGCTCATTGGCATTGGGTATATACTTTCTTGTCCTAAAAGAATGGTAAAGAGATAACAAGGATGGGACATTTCTACAGGTAATGAATACATGCAATAGATTTCTTGGGAAAAGCCATATAAAGACCAGATTTCCTAAATTTAGTTTATGGAGAAGCTAATGCAAAATCTCATGTAAATAAAATGCTGAGTAGGGATTGATGTTTTCTTATAAATAAATTGTAGTAAATATTATGTGTACAAGAAGGTATAATTACAGCTTTGGACAGAAATAAAGTATATGGCATCTTGTATCTTATAGGTGTTGACAAAGTTACCCATTAATAAAACACAACTGAAAAATTTGTTGAAATGAATTACATTAATAGATAATAACTTTTGTGTGCACAATTTAAATCAAATCAAGCTCTTTCCAGCCAAAGCATAATGGTGGAGGTTTGCTGGCCTTTACTGGAGCACCAAAATCACAGTGGATTCCTTGATCTGTCTGTTAACTATTTTATAACATAAATAACTTCCTTTTTTCTGAATTTATAACAGTAATGTAATGGAAGACAATTGCTTTAAAATTCACATTAGGTACATACATTACATACCAACTTTCTCAGAAAAGTATTATTTAACTATAATGGATTATGCCTCAAACAAAATCTGTCATGCATTTAAAGTAATTTTATAATGATGTACAATTGTTGAGTATTTTTCAGATGCCTGCCTGTAGTTTTTAGTATGGAGCTCAGCAACTGAAAACATCATATCATATATTTTTTTAAAAGGTATTATTCTAAAATTATCAGATCACTAATACCTACAATTTACACTAGATTTTTATATAACTCTGTAATTATTAAACTTACCATCACAGTCAGTTAAGACATTGTCAAAAGTATTGAGAAATCCCTCAATGCAGTTTTCATTAAGGAGTTTGGGCATCTGTGCCATTGTGAAAGATGCAACCTGTTGGGAAGAAATGCAATGTTACAGTCAACAATAAAGTATCAGAAATATGTCTATTGAGGGATGTATTGATTCCCTTCTTATAAATTCCTTGAACCTGGTATTTAATGAGTTTTACATTTATCAATATGTGGTAATTCTACTTATAATCTGTACATCATCTACACAAATAAATTTGAAACTAACTCCACAAAAGCCCTCTAGTCACAATATTAGTAGTTATATTGAAATGGTGTCAAGCAATCACCACAGAATCTGAACCTGCTGGCATTGTAACAAAGACCTACAAATACCCACCATGTGTATATATATTTTGATAAGATAGATTGTAGACTAGTCTTCCCTGGTAATTCATGGTCATGCAAGCATTATCATGCCAGAACACATATATATGGAAGATGTTGTTTGGCTGCTTCTCCACTGAAGACATGAAGGATACAGCCATCAGTTAATGCCATTGTAAGCACCAGCTGTCACAGAATATCAATTTAACTCCCTTTATGGATAATTGGGGTGGTTCTCTAAATCCATCAAAACAATAATCATTAGTATCAGCAGCAGGAAGCTTTTGAGAAGAAAAGAGAAGCTACCCTACTAGAGGGTTTGCCCTTCCTGCTTCCCTAACAGATTCCTAAATTCATAGGGCTTTAAATATAAAACATATATTAAACTATATCCACATGCTATTACAGTAAGAACACATGAAACTGATATAATTATAGCTTTAGGTACATATTCAGAATACCTTCTGATGACCAACCACTCTAACAGTAGTATCAATAGATTCTTCTCACATTCTAATACACATGTATATAGAAATCATGCCCCTGAAATTCCCCCAATCCCTGCCCTGGACAACAAAGAATCCACCATGTATTTAGGCCTAAGGCAGGATAGAGGGTATGATGGTCTCGGCACAGGGCACTCAGGCATACCGGTCGTATACTCTCTCCTGCCATGAATAACTGGAGGATTCTTGGTCTTCCAGGGTGGGGACCCCCAACACCCACCCTACTGATTTTCAAGATCAAGAATAAGTCAATATATCTGACAACATAATGACTTATTCTGTAAATATCATTATCATCACAGTGATACATTTCTTGTAGCTATATCATTAATATGTTACCCCATAATTTTGCTGGTACCTTTCATGCCCTCCCAGGCTATTGGGGCCAAAATGTGGGGGTTTGGGGAGGTCCATGGCAAAAGTCCTACACATATGGGTTATGGACTCTTAAAGGAATCCATTGATACCACTATCATCGTAATTGGTTACACAAATAGATAGATAGATAGACAGATAGACAAATAGATATATAGATAGACAGATAGAGAGATAGAGAGATAGACAGATAAAGAGATAGAGACAGATAGATCGGCCGATTGACAGATACAATGGATAGATTTTATTTCTTTTTATTTGATACATATTATTTCATATTCTAAATATAACACAAACTACCATGTCATAACCCTTACTCTTCTGCCCCCGAGGAAAATTTTCTCTTCTATTAAATTACCCGTCACTGCCAAAGCTTATTTAGAAGGAAATAGAATACCATAACTAAACAAGATAAGTAACGTATAAGATATAGATTTCCTTATGACTTATTCTCACATATTTTTTTGACACTATCATCTCATAAGCCTGTAATAAAACCATTTATTTACCTCAATGTTATTCACAAAATCTTTCGTGCTGGCGATGTTGACAGGTTGCCTTCAGCCGAGTTGTTTGCGTTCTTGAGCTTGAATCCGGATACGGCATTCAAGTTCGGTGCGCGGGCGCTGCCTTGAAGGAATACTTGCATGTGTGTGCGCTTTCTACGGTGTATTTGTGTGTGTGCGTTTATATATATATATATATATATATATATATATATATATATATATATATATATATATATATATATATATATACACACACACACATATATATATATAATTATATATCTCCTATTATATAAAGACGCAAACACACACACGCACAAACATGCACACACACACACACACACACGCACACGCACGCACACACACACACACACACACACACACACACACACACACACACACACACACACACACACACACACACACACACACACACACACACACACACACACATACACACATACACAAACACGGAAATACTGCAGAAAAAAAACAAACAAACATTGGAAGAAGTAAAAAAACAAAAACGAAAAAAGGGCTGAAGTGAAAATATTGTTCATTTGGAGAGTGAGAGGCCTCCAAGCAAAACAAGTTTACTATCGGAACCAAAATGTGGAGACAGACAAACATTAGCTTTGCAGCCAAAAGGAATACCGAAAGATTATATAGAAATAGTTTATACAAATATAGATGTTTTATGTTTGAAGTTACAAAAACTAGATGCAATTATTGAAAGTAATAAAGCAGATTTAATATGCATCACTGAATCCAAACTGGATCCCTCCGTAGACGATGTAACATTAGGACTCAGAGTCTACAATATTTGGAGAATAGATAGGGCAAATGGAGGGGGGGGGGGGTAGCAATACTGACAAGGAAAGGAATTATTTTAAAGTAGAAAGAGATTCAGGAAATTGAGGTAGAAACAAACGGAGTGAATAAAATAACCACAGTGTAAAGCTACACAGAAAATATCGTTTGGAGGGGTGTCGAAACATTCAATAACGAACAGAACCTAATGTTACGGAAGGGCTGGTATACTGCAGATATGTAGAAATCCTTGAGGAGGTTTTCCTTCCATCAGTTAGGGCTATGGCGTTTCCTGAAATGGATCCCTTCTATTTTATCCAGGACAACAACCCCACCCAAATGGTTTCGTGAACATCCCGACACGTGCTTCTTTCATATCCACCCAGAACTCCGGATCTCAACCCAACTGAAAACGTGTAGGCAGCCATGTCAAAATACATGTACCAAGACCACACTCGTAATCGTGTCGCAGTCGTGAATAATGTCCTGCAAGCATAGGAACGTCTGGCAGTGAGGAAGGCGTGCGCTGACAGTCAAGTTAGTGGTGTCTATGTATCGACGCTGGAACTGTTTTGAAAGCAGGGGTAGGAACACAAAATATTAGACTGGAGTATGTTATGGGTATCTTATTTTCTTGTTTTGACTTTAATGAAATATGTCAATAGTCATTAGATAATATAATAACAATAAACCGTCTGGCAATACCTAACACATGTCTTCCCTCATATTATGACGATTTCCCCCCCCCCCCCCCACAAAAAAAAAGTACAAGAAAGCTACTTGATTAGTGACAAAGTTGTCAAACTATTATATCAAATTATAAATCACCTTATAGTTAAATTATCTGCGAATTTACAGTCTCTTAATTCGTGATTTACCAAAAGTAGTAATAGCTTCCTAGCGTTAACAACTATATTTGAACATAATTTTCTGACGATAGTTTTCTGTGTAGCTGTACATGCCACCTCATACATCGGTGTAGTCACAAAAAATTACCAAAAACTTATTCAAGAAACGTTAAAGAGCCTGGAAGAAGTGCCACAACTTTCGGAAACTAATGCAAAAGAAATTCTTGTAACAGGGGATTTTAATAGCAAAAGTGAAGGAAAGTTTCGATCCCAGGGCTCAGCCAGATTCGTGGAATGCAAAATTACTAGAAGTCATAAAGGAATTTTGTCTCTTCCAGAATGTAACATATCATACCATGATGAGAGGGCTAGATAGACCGTCTATGCTTAACCTAATATTTACAAAACATAAAGATGACATTAAATACATGGAGTACTGCCCTCCCTTAGGAAAAAGGAATCATGTTAGTAATCAAGTTGAAATACTGTCTGCTAGTAAGTAAGGAAAGTACAATTACAAGAGAGGTAATTATAGAAGCTTTAAAGATTTCTTTGATGGCATAAACTGGGAAACTCTCCGAAACGAAGAGAACCTTGATATGCATTATTCTAATTTTTACGAAGTATATAAACAGGGAGCAGAAATATTTGTATCAAGATTCAAAACTAAAGCAAGAAATGGCCAAAAGTGGTTCAGTGATAAATGCAAGAAAATGAACGAAAACAATCAACCTTTGGAGAAGGTTTAGAAGACAGCGCATGAAAGGTATAACGTAGGAAGAAATGAGTATACCTAAACCATGAGTGAGCCGAAATTTGACTTTGAAAAGGATATAATCGATAAATGTACAAACCAACCAAAACTTTTCTTTAATTACATATATAGTAAGACTAAAAGTTAGCGCCATCAAAGACAATAACATCGTTTATACTAAGGAAGAGGAAATGTGTGAAATCATTAATGAGAAATTTCAGTCAGTGTTTGCTCTGGACACATACTTTGAAGTGGCAAGTAACCGTACAAACGTAAATAAGAATATCGAAAATATTGAAAAAAAAGAGATCTACTGAAAGGGTTTGACAAGACAAAGACAGAGGGACCAGATGAAACATCTAACTGGGTTCTGAGGGAATGTGCCGAAGAATTATGTACTTCTTTATTGTTAATATTCCAAAATTTAGTGAGGAAA